ACTTCAATTTGTCGATCCCCTAAGAAGCTCTTCAGCCATTTTACTGACGAAGCTGTAGCAATCTTACCGAATTTCTTTAGGAGTATAGAGTGGTCGACCCGGTCGAATGCTTTCCTGAAATCTAGAGATATCAGGTCAAAATTAGTGCCATTATCAATATTTACAGCCATTGATTGGGTTAGCAAGATAAGTTGGTCCGTTACAGACTTGTTGCGTACATATGCGAATTGACCTTTAAACATTACACCATGGGTCATCAAGTATCGAAGTAGACGTTCCGAGAGAATCTTTTCCATTAGTTTTCTATGCATGGGAGAAGGGATATAGGCCTGTAATTGGTAGGCTCTTTGGCGCAACCTCTATTCTTGTACACCGGTATTACGGTGGATGATTTCCAGGAGGACGGGAACACACCATCATCAAGGCTGTAGTTGAACAATACTGATAGTGATTGGGAAAGGATGTCTGCGAATTGCTTTAGTACACGGTTTGTCAGGTTGATGTCTGATGATGATTTATGTTGTTGCAGCCTCCTTGCTGCATCGAAGACGTCAATAGGGCGTATGTTTCCGAATCCAAATTTGTTTCCATCGACGTCGGCTTCATTGATTGTCATACTAGTTGCTACAGTATTCGGCGGCGTTCACTGAGTGGTGCATTGGCGGGCAAAGAAGGTACACAGCGTTTCGGCCTTCGCTTGATCTGTTTTGTGAATTTCATTGCCGTTCTGCAGGTCTCTAGGGTACCCTGTAAGAAGGCCTTAGGCCTGTGGGGATTGCCCTATCAAAATTTTGATAATAATAATTTGATAACCGCAATCAGTAATACAAGCTGGATCGACATATGTGTACACTTTATTCATGTTAAATGTACAACTGTGCCTGTGGAGACAATGTGCAATAAAACGATGAAAATGTGAAGAAATGGTGTAGAGAAAATGAGGATTCAAACAAGTTTTCGTACAACACTCATCAGGAATCTTCGTTGTACTAAAGGACAATGAAAACAAAATTGAACTATTAAATACTAGTCTATTATAGAAAATCTAAGTTAGATAGAGAAATAACACTAAGAACACTAAGAACAACAGCAGTGAAATTTACAAGTGTGAATTTTATCAATGAAAGCAAGAGCAATAACGAATGCGTGTACTAACACTAAATATTGCCTATGCTGTTGGCAGCCTGTTGCTCATTAGGATTTTGGCAAATTCTATCCTTCGCTTTCATATAACTGGGCCAGGAACCCGTTTGAACTTGCGAAGTAAAATAAAATCAATCATCAATCAACTTGCAACTGAAAAATGAACAAAGAAGAGAAAAGGGACAAAGGAAACACCCTAGTAAAATAAAAGTTAATAATAATAATAATAATAAATAATAATAAAGTGATATACTGATAACAAATAACAGCAGTACAGTACACCTAGAAAATTAACGGCCAAGCTTGGCCGTTAATTTTCTACATGTAGGTGTAATGTACTGCGTTTTTTGAGTTTTTTTAGCTGAAAAAGTGCTAAAATCTGTTTGCTCATGCATGTTTCATCACAGTTTCATTCAGAGTGCTCGATGGGCCTTGGCTAGGCCCAGACAGATCCTGCCGGCAATTCTTTCGGCAAAATATCGAAGAATTGAAAGAGCGGAAATTGCCGGCAAAATCGGAGCAAAATATCGAGATGTTGGGTCAAATCGATGCCTGATACTTGGATTTCCTTGGTTCAGCAGGATACACTGCCCAGGACGAGATCATGTCACCGAAATATCACTGGGATTCACTGTGGATTCACATAATTTTGGAAGAACTCAGGACACGTGCGTGGAAATCCGTGTTAAGAAACTGACCCTGCGATTTTATGAAACGTTGTACGGGATTGTACGGGAATTGGATAAAATACACGTTTTTCCGGAGCAAAATGGAGCAAAATATCGAGATTCTTGTGCCAGGCTCGGCAAAATATCGAAGATTTCGCAGCAACATTTTGCGGCAAAATATCGAGGCGAGCGGAGCAGAATCTGTCTGGGCCTTGGCACGCCGCTCTTTCGGGGGGGGGGCAACAAGTTGGTGAAGCTTGTACCCGGTGTACACAATACTGTAAAAGTGGTTTTTTTGAATTTTACTTCCTGTTTTGCCTTTCGAGGACCCATAAATGGAAGAGTGCGTGTTCATTTCTCAGCTTGGGTTCATATCTGAACATGTATCATGGCTTATACTTCACTGAAAAAGAGCACTTTTTGCCTGTTTTCACTGAAAAAGAGCACTTTTTCAGCATATTTTGAGGGACGCGAAAAGCACTAAGTGCGAATTAAAAGAGCACCTTTGGGGAAGGGCTATTCGTAGTTCAACGTAGACGGCATGGAAAATACTAGAAAATCATGATAATAATACGAAGTAGTGGTTGCGACTTCGGCGATGATTTGTAAGAAAGTGTTTGCTCCCCACACAGGAGCTCGCGCTATTCCGCCGACTTTACTTGACACTTGACTGACTCACGACTGCCATCCAGAGCACACGAGAAGTCCATCGAACCTTCGACTCGGCAAACCTTCCAGAAAGCACCACTCCCTGCTCAATACACAGTGTTTCGGGGAATTCACCCCTCATCAGTTGAGCTTGAGTAGGCTGAGGAAGATTGTGCCTGAAGAGCACCACTTATATAGTGCTCTCCAGGCACAAACATCACCAGGGATACAAACTTACAGAGACGCTCCGTTTCCAGCGCGACAAACACCTCGTGAACACCAAATAGCAGCGTGAGTCAGTGTCGCTCGTGGACGGTGAGACATCGTGAGTCAGTCAAGTGTCAAGTAAAGTCGGCGGAATAGCGGCTCCGGTGTGGGGAGCAAACCCTTTCTTTCATGATAATAATGCTAATTTTATTCTGCTATTGCTCCATAATGCCAGCAAAACCGCAATACGGGCCCGTACGCCGGCCGTGTGTTGTGAATTTTACCTTACAATTATGCCCTATTAAAAATGTAATAACTAATAATAATAATCTCATAGTTTGGACGCACTCCCGCCTCAATGCACTAATGCTACATGACTGGACAAACATCAGCTGCTCCCACCCCACATTTGACGTGTAGTAGCCAAAACTTCCATATTTGGGTATAATGCCACTTTTGTGGAAATGTAGTGTTATAATGCTAGCATAATGCTCCTTGCAAATCGCACACTATAATGCTACTTATAAATCTAGCTTTATCCGCCTGCAGGCCTACTCATCGCCAAACTTGCCCCCCAAGGACCTTAGGTCTCTGCCTTCCGCGACTTCGAGCCCGAAGCCTATCGCCTCCGACCCCAGACATTTGACTCAGGAGTCGGGACTCCTTATATTTTTAGTCACAAACCACTCTCGGTTGCCGAGGCCTGTGTGTTGTGAATTTTGCCTTACAATAATCTCATAACACTAGCAATATTCCATCTGACATCGGAAATGACATTACAAGGTCTTTATTGTATATCCGACACTGCTGCCTGCCTGACGTCAGTGACGATCGATTTTGAGTGTAAGTCACGACCCAAGTGCCTCCTGACTCTGATCTCTTTGGCGAGTAGCTGGTCCAGAAGTAAGAACCTCGTGCAAAGCATCTGGGCAGCATTCTGGGCACTCGAATCGAGGTGCTGATCGCACAAACACACTCACACGGATGATTTGTTTTTGTTTTTCATCCGATGTATCCAACACTTCATAATTCAGACTACTTCTTATGAGTACTAATAATTAGGTTGGGCTAATTTTGGCCATGGTCGTTCCCAACATGCCGATATCATCGTTCATGTCGTCAAAGTGGGTCCGTGCGTGGGGCTGAATGGATAGTTGGATCAACTATGTAACTACTTTGGTGCTTTGAGTCGGTGCTTTGCTGTTCACCGTCGCTCTACTTCGTTGTGATCGGTTCGGCCAGTAGCTCTGACTGAGCTCCGCTGCTACCACTAGATATGGCATGTTCTGTATTTCTTTCCTTGGCGCTGATAGGTGGAATTCTCTGCCTGTCTCGTGTCGTCAGGTTGAGCATCTATCCGTTTTTGTTCCGCTCTGTAAAGAGCACTTAGGGTTCCCTGTAACAAGACGGCAACGTATGTAGGGACTTCCCTATCAAGATAATAAATTCTACTACTAATATTCTACTAGGAAACCTAACAATTAATTATTTGTTGTTGTTGTTGTTGTTGTTGTTGTTGTTGTTGTTGTCGTTGTTGTTGTTGCTGCTGCTGCTGCTTTTGCTGTGGATTTACTTTACTGTCTTGGCAATTCCAAACGGGTGATTTTCCCACTTATGTGGAAGCGAAAGAACCAGTCATCCTCGAAGAAGCCACTTCGTGGAACAAACTAGCCATATTAAAGACCACGCGAGTTCACGGGTTCTAGACTGATATTTGATGACGGTTGTCAATTTTGGGCCACTCATTCGCGAATTCGGTATCCGAAGTTAATTATGCCCTGCTAACTGGGGGGCTTTGTCCGAGAAGAAGGGCTGCGCAGACGACATCAATTTTGGTTCCAAGGTTACAATGGTCATCCAGTTTGGGATTTGGCAGATACCAAGGCGGAACTCTAGTTGGTCACCAATGGTTGCCGGAGCCACAGAGACTCCCCCAAATTTAGGTTGTACGAGGTCTGTCGGGACCAGGCACCCTTGCAGCTTGCGTCAGCACGATCTTCCATCGGCGTAGCACGCCGATAAGACCGATATTTTACGACAATACGACGTTGCGTTCAGATATATGGAGGAGAGAGTAACTACACACGCAATTTACTGGGATCCCTACTCCATCCCCAAAACCCTTTACTGGCTGTAGGCAAATATAGTGCCGACCTTTGCTACCGATCCGTACAAATTTTGTACACACTATTTCGTCGCCGTATCGGGAGTACACAGTGGTGCCGAGACCGACGCCGATTTTTGCGCCGATCACGCAAAAGTTGACCTCTGCGAAGCTGTCGTACCTGCTATAAGCGTGGAGAGGCAGCTGCTTTATCTATGCTGTAGCTTTTCTCGGCAAGATCATTCTTCAACTCCCTCACAACGTGTGAGCAGCAACTTTTGTGACGCCTCTGTCTCTTCCTCCATCTGAATCTTCGTCTTTCTTTACTCTCTACGTCTTAACTCTTTCGACTGAGGTTGCCGTGAGACGAGCAGCTGTTCTATTTTTCTCCGGCTCAAGACTTGGTCACAAAAGACCCAACACCAACAGCCGCTGACCGTTGTGTGTGGAAACACACCATGGATTCAAACGGGACCCCGGAAAAAGCCGTCGACGAAGAGGTAGGAGCGTGGCTTCAAGTCTCGTTGTTTGTTCGCATGATTCGTACAAATGAGTACGGCCACAAGCGTGCTTCGGTGGCCCCCCACCGCTTACCGTTGGAATAACGATGGTATGTTGTTTTCCGTCACGTTTCTCCTGATTTTCTCCTCCACTCAGGTTCGTACACTGTTTGTCAGTGGACTTCCAATCGACGTCAAGCCTCGTGAGCTAGATCTTCTTTTCCACCCCTACAAGGTATGCTGATAGTGAACAGTTGCTATAGAATGTTTCAAGTGTCTCGGAGCGGAATGGCGACACAAAATTGTCGTTTGAAAATGTGTTCAAGTAAACGACCGTTTTCCGCGGCTTGTACTTTGTATTGTAGTACCGGTAGTACCTTTGCTCTGGGGTCCCGAGGATTTACAGCATGTCAGGTGTCTGATCTTTGCCTCGTTATCAGGTTATTAGTCCCGTTCTCGTGATTAGGCCGAACTAGTATGAAAGAACCCCGTACAGGTTCGCAGCGCATGCTGCGCCGTGGAACTTGGCGGGCAGGGAATGTGTCGTATTTCGTTCACGTGTTGTTGTTTCGCCAAGTTTCCGCTTCCTTGGGGAAGGCTTGAGGGGCGCACACATTGTGATCTACATTTTTCCGAACCCCCTCAGGCAGTACGCATGCTGCACGTATTGCAAGTCTACATTCAACTGAATCCGGGTAGTGAATCATCTCACATGCTCGGGATACAAGACCAATCTTTGTTGCTTGAACTACTTGAAATCCGTCTTGTATGTTCTACTCGGCGTGTTCTTTTTTGTCGCTTTCGATGCAGTCAGATGTGATACCAAGCGTCCGTAAAGCGATACTAAAGAGGCCGGAATCGGTCGAAGCCTTGTGGACTCGTGGACTATTGTTACTTGTAGTGTTCTTCTTTCTTCTCCACTTTGTGAGGACGCTGTGGCTTTACCTGTATCATCAACATAGGCTCAACTACATGTACATGTAACCGAGTAACTGCGCTTAGAAAGAGTTGCGAAAGGACACGTGTCTTATCAGTGTGTTGTGTACAAAACTAACAGTGGCAGAACGGACTAGACTCCGCAATGCTACATCCGGCCCCAAAAATGGCAACACTGTTGCGCGATGTTCCCTTTTTCGTCCTACTTTTCGGGAACTACTTTGAAGCACCCTCCGCTTCGGGTACTGATGTGTGCATGTTTCCCGTATTAACCATGTAAAGCAGTTCGGCTTGCTACTTGTGCTGCGCAACGGTCCTGGTTCAATACATGGAACGCAGTCTGATATCCCCACTCTCATTGTGCGCTGTTGTTGTGCTACAGGACTATGATGGTTCCTTATTGAAGTTCACTAGCAAACCTGTAAGTAATCACTGACATGTGTTGCACTGTTTGTCCACTGAATTGTTCAGAAGCTCCAATAAACATGGTGCTGCTGAGAGTTTTGGGCAACATAGAGACAGTACTGTTCTACATGGATATTGATTATAGAACGATGGCCTTACCATTTGTCATGTCCACGAGTAGTCACGGTAGTGAGAATATTGCTTTTTAAGACTTGGCCGGAGTGGCCTCGTACTGCGAGTATGAGTACACCAGCTGTGATAACCAATATTGATTGCTACGTACAAAACGGCCTGGTCTCCATGTACATGTTGTGCATCAAGTTACTGAGCCCTAGACACACGACCTGAACGAACGTAGCAACAATTCAGTGGTGCTCGCTTCCATAATAGTATACATGTATGAACGACGCCGACACTAAAGGAAGAACAGTGTGTCCATGCTGTGTTTGCAATAGGTACACATCGGTAATAGAATGAGAAGCCCCCCCCCCCCCCTGCCTAGCTGCGGCCAGTTTTATTAAGGGGACTGGCGACCTGGGGCGAGAGTGATGTGATAGGTACACACCGGTAATAGAATGGGAAGAATAGAATGGGAAGCCCCCCCCCCCTATCCAGTGTCTGCTCTAGGATTGTAGGACAGCCGGGTACACGTGTACCTGGCGCAACCATTTCAACCGGGTCGGACCCGGGTACACATGTACCTGGCGCTGTCTCACCACGACGACCTGTTTCCCCAGAGTCCTGGAAGCATGGCCTGTGTATTCGCCTCTTCGCTGGAGGCTCCATTTCCAAAAACAACACCTCAACGATCAAGGTTGAATTGAGCAAGTGCACACACCGGATAATAGAGAGGTTTCACTTCACGTTGTTCTGCACTACACTGTGAAATTTCACGTCGGTGTGGCACATTTTGGCGTCGAAACTCCTGTTCATGACGTGAGCGGAGCTCATGAGGTCAACTCACGTTCGACGTGAACCCGAGTTTCACGGTGTGGTGTAGAACAACGTGAAGCGAAACCTCTCTACTGAATACTTTCACTTCGATGCACGCCTCTGCATGATCTGTCACACATACAAGCCATGTAGTCAGTCCTTTCAAAGTTCGATCGTGTAAAGTACCAACCGGGTCACAGGTGACCCGGTACTATATTTTCAGCCGGGTCCAAGCGCCGCCCAACCGGGTGGATTACCCGGCTCACCCGGCTCTGGAGCAGACACTGCTATCTAGCTGCGGCCAGTTTTATTTGGGAACTGGCGACCTGGGGCGATGGTGATGTGGCTGTGGCCAATGGGATATTACTATGTGTCAGTTGGGTGCTGTGGTGGTACACCGATCTATCATGCTTCACTTTAGGAACTCCACTTGATACCTTCGGCCTTGTCATTAATGTGGTTAATATCTGTTACTTACGCGGAATCATCGCCGAAGTCGCAACCTCTATTACGCGGAATGTTTAATAATATGTTTAGTGTCGCTGCTTAGATAGGACCCTATTTTTCTTTATCGCCGTGGTTGGCAATCACCCACTCTCTTAACATTGGCCGGTGTTTCCACCGAGTCTTGAGATGTTGTAATAAATATAATATAAATATCTTAGCATGTGGAGTTCTGGGAGAGATCCTTTCTGCAAAGGAACTAGCTAGCACCGCCCTATGGATAGTTGTCTGGCCTCTTTTTCCTGGGATGCTCAGCAAGTGATAATTATTGTCTCCTGTGTCGTTTGTTTTCTCCTTCCCTGCTGCTACACATTACACAGGGCAAGCCACTCACAGTAAGTGATGGTTGGTTTTGTCAGATTTCATGTATTTTACAGCTTCAGGCAGCAACGGTTTAGTAATTAAGCATCTCTGATCATGCAGAAAGTCCCGTGTGTGCATTCTTTTCCATTGGGCTCTGTGGTGCAGTATACAGTGAAACCTGTGACTAACGACCACCCCTTTGGGTCCAGAGAAAGCGGTCTTTAGTGGCAGGTGGTCCTTAGTTAGAGGTTTTCACCGCACAACCATAATGAATGTGAGAGCGTCCGTGCCTGGCGAAGTGGTCTTTAGTTCCAGGCTGGTCCCTAGTCCCGATGGTCTTTAGTTACCGGTTTTACTGTAGTTCAGTATGGACATTGATTTTGTAGTGAAACTGAACTTAGTTCAGCACTTAACTTTGAAAGATAAGGCTTGTGTATCGTGTATAATTACTATGTGCTTTACGTTTTGTCTAAATGACTACGGTATTCTGTTCTATTCTTGTTTTTCATCCCTGTGCAGCCTGTTGCATTCTGTACTTTCCTCTCCCGGGAATCAGCTGAGAAGGCAAAAGCAGAATTGCAAGGTCTCAAGTTTGATCCTGATTTACCCCAGACTCTTCGCTTGGAGTTCGCAAAGTCCAACACTAAAATGACTCGCAAACAAGCAATAATATCAAATATGATCGCAACTAACTCAAATTCAACTTCACCTAACTTTACTCCTGGTAAGCCGGCGTAAGCTGATTGACGTTCATTTCTTTTCACCTTTCCTTCTCGTATGTATGCTGGGGTGATGCGCATGGCCATGGTGTGTGTGTGTGCACAAGCTTTGTCATGCGCCACCGTTGCATGGGATTTCCAACGTAATGGGATGTCGACTTGGATATGTTTCATGGAGAACAAGAGCCGCTGTTGACGGTATATGTCGCTGTTTTGCCGCGTGTTGTGTTAGTGTAGTACCAGGTTCTCTTGTCAATACTGCTGGGCGGTTTCACCTGCTATAGCCTTTTATTACTCCTAGGCTAGGTTGTTTTCAGCTGTATTGCCATTGAAGAGGGAGTCGTGATGCAATCCAAGACTTTGCTGGTGCTGCTCTCTCTCACTCTCTCTCTATCTATCTCTCTCTATCTCTCTCTCTCTCGCGCTCTCTCTCTCTCTCTCTCTCTCTCTCTCTCTCTCTCTCTCTCTCTCTCTCTCTCTCTCTCTCTTCTGCATCTTAGCTACCAACTCAACTTTCTTCGAGCCTTGGCAAGTGCCAATGTAAGTCTAGGGATAAGATATGTGAATAATGTCGTTGGCGAGGCTTTACTCTAAAAATCCATACAACCCTTTCATATGTTACCTCCCAACATTGACAACCACTTAGATGTCATTCTTTATCGAGTGGAAAGTATCGATTCTCCAGCCACCACCCCGAATTGGCAAAAACACTGTAGTTGTACTTCCTCCGCGTCATCGAAATTGTCGCAGTTTGACTTTTGATATAAAACGGGGTATTTACTCACCAGCACTCGTACCAGAGGCAGGGAATGGGATATAGGCGATAGTCATCAGTATAGGGTGACGGTAAAGTTCTATTTTCTGTTATTGGAAGCTGGAATTTTTGAACTAGACGCAATTTCTTCACTGATGTCGCTGCGATGGTAATTTCGACTCGCGGAGATCAGTCAGGCGTTGCAGCCTGCACATTTCTCGTGCTTATGGCCATTCACTCAAGCCGCATCACTGTTTTACCTTAGCTGGGGTGAGAATGACTTCGTGGAACAAGTGGCAGCGCTTGGAGAAACATCGAGGGGTCAGCAAACTAAATGCCTGCAACAGCGATAAAAATTGTCGCTCTGGCTGAGACACTCAGTACATGATTGTACCTGCAAGAGCCGTGTTGACTCTACACGTAGTGCTAGTGATGCACGCGCGCAGGTGCCGTACCATGGTATACCAGTGATGCTGAAAAACAGGGCGCGCTGGACGCGATAGTACACTTACCTGAGCTGCATGAGCTGTGACCAAACAGCTAAAATAAATGGGCATGCCACGGCTAAAAAAAGTTCATTTCAAGATCGAGGTGATTCCGCCGACGGTAATCAACCGACCTCGCAACGATCGTGTATTCTTACTAGGCTTCGTTGGTGGTGAAGTAGAAATCATCCAGAGCTAGCAGACGACAAGCATAGCAGCTCTTGTCCTGTGGAGAAAGTCAAAGCGTTTGAGATGAGGCGCGACCAACTTTCAACCTTCCTTGAAATATTTCGGAACGATATTTTTGCGTCCATTGACATCAGCGACGACAAGGACTTCATCTCTGCATGAAAACTCTCAGTCCAACTGTCCGGGAATGTTACTCTAGTCTTCAGACTATCATACTGTGTAATAAGTTTTGAATGGCTTAGCTTATGGAGTTGTCAGTAACAAGTGACAAGTCACTAGTCAAACTGCGACAACTTCGATGACGAGGAGGAAGTACAGTAATGAGGCACTGCATTGTAGCACTGTGTGTATCATTCAAGTCACTGTAGGTATTGGACTGCTGGTGCTGCCGCAGATGGACCTATTATTCACGTGTGATGTTGAGGGCATTGAAAGGGTTATGTTCAAGTTTTGTCGCTTCATCTCGGGGGTGTTCGTTAACGTTTTTCTTTCTTTCCGTTTCTCCATTCTTTCTGCACCTGTAGTGGCCCAACTAGTGCGACGATTGGCCAACTTCCGCCTCTCTCGGTTGCGTAAGTATTTGTTTTCTTTGCTTGAGGTTCTCTCCATGTGTTGTGTGTTCTATGCTCGAAGTCTAAGCTTGCTCCGTTCCTGCTGTTTACCCGTTTTGATTTTTGTACAGAATGAGCGGATACAACAATGACGTCACCGTAGTGTCACCAGGTCACTACCCTGCTGCTAATATTAGCCCCACCAACAGCGTACACCTCCCAGGCGTGTCTCATGCTGAGGTCATGCCAACCGTGGCAAGTCCCCTGTCGACCGTGACCACCCTGGGCGGCACGCAGTCTTCTCCTCCAGCTCAGTGGGCCGCAAAGATGTCTCCGTGCAACACGCTGTTCGTTGCCAATCTGGGCACCTACACCACTGAACAAGAGTTGCGCGAGGTCTTCGGAAGGTATTAAAGTCCGTAGTTTTGCACTGCGGAGAACTTGTCCTGTCTTTTCATGTTCCCCTCCTCTTGTCTGGTCGTGTCATGCTGTCTTGTTTGTCTATGCCAGAATGGAATTATTTCATCAATGACTTTGTAACTAGGGATCTAACCCCCCTTTTTCTGAAGAGTGATGTGAGCCACAAGGCATTTCGAATCGTGACATACGGATCCGTCGTCACCTTGCTTTCACTACTATTTTACTATTTTTGGATTTAGCTATTTCACACCCCTACACCATACAGATCGGCTTTCAGTGGCAAGCCTGGAATACTTTTGCCTCCACTCCCCCATATGGGCCATGTTGGGTACGACTGACTCCTGCTCTCCCTCCGTGTGGCTAACCCCCTCGGCACCGTATATCACTGTTTTTCTTTTTAATCCCTGCCTCTCTATTGCCGCTTGTGCTTCTGAATCCTGTGCCCAAAGCACATTCTACTTGAAATGATGCCTCTCGTGACTGCGTGCGTGTACGTGTGCATGCAGGGAGAGGGAAAGTGTCCGTTGATCGACTTGTTGATCCGGTGCTGCTTGTGTGCTAGCTGCTCTTTTATTCCACCCTGTGCTTGTCTGGTGTCATCTATGTGACTCAGGTTCCCCGGTTTCCGCCGGCTACGCCTTCACAGCAAGGGTTCTACACCTGTGGCTTTTGTGGAATTTACCGTGAGTGTTCTCTGTCTGTTGTCTGCGCTTTTCTTCCCATGCGTTTTATTGAGATAGTGGTGGACGGGTTGGGGATGCTGCTTCAGTGAGTAAGTCGAGCTTTTTTTAGCTGTGTTGCTGCTTGTGCTACGTCTGCAAGTGTGCATTCATGATTTCAGTCCGTTGTTGGGTAAAGAACGTCTGCTCTCCCGTAAGTTAGGTTCTAGCTTTTAAGTTTGGAGAGTGGAAATGACAGGAAAATAAAGTTTGGAGAGTCCTGTGTTAGTAGTGAAATCAAAGTGGCGTTGTAAAGCACCTAAAAGGTGAGAATGATAGCCGGTCAACCTCCGTCAGTGCAGTGCCCTCTGATGTAAACCTTGTGTAACTAGATGGATAGTGTCACCTTGCTGCCTTGCGGCCAACAATGCACAAGTGGCTGGGAAACAACACCGCAGCGGTGTCGCTGATTTGTATCCGTAGCCAGCTAAAGCGGCTTCTAGTGCGCTAGAGAGCAAGCAATTCAGTGTACAGGCTGGGCACGATGCAATAGTAATATGATCTGTACAAGTTTTCTGGACAAATGAATGCTTTCAAGAGAATTTTGGCCATCTTTTTGGTGCTTTGCAGATCTAAAAACAGTGCATTTCGGTCTGCAGGTTTGTACACACTTTGTACGCACTCCGTCACTGTGCATCCTCTCACTCCTAAAAGAGTGCGCATGTAAAGCAATCCACATAAGGGCACGCACAGATGCTGGAAATGACTATGTGTAGTACGAAGGTGTGTGCGAATGTGTTTGCCGAATTTCCAGAACCATGCGATGTGTTATCTAGTAAGTTGTATGTGACTTGCTGCCATACAAGACATATTTATGCTGGAACTGTGCTCTCTCGCAGGATGAGACTTTCGCGCACAACTCTCTTGTCTACCTTCAAGGGTAAGTGTGTGTGTGTGTGTGTGTGTGTGTGTGTGTGTGCGTGCGTGCGTGCGTGTGCGTGTGTGCATGTTGTCTCTCTCTGTCTGTCTCTCTCTCTCTCTCTCTCTCTCTCTCTCTCTCTCCATTACGAACCCACAGTTAGATTTGATTTGACAGAGCAGTGTGTACTTTTTGCTGAGTATGATGATCTCTTTTTTTTTGTCTGTCTCGTACTCAACAGATTCCAGCTCCTGTCCTCAGAGCGCGGCGGAATCCGCATCGAGTTCGCTCGAAATCGCATGGGGGATCGAGGTCCCAGTGAGGTAGGGGCATTTGAACTGTGTGTTGAGAGTATTTAGGTGAGCACAATCATTCCCAAGACAGTGCAAATCTGAACACCGGTTTCATTTCAACTTTTCTTTCTTCATCTGCCCATCATCGGGTATACGAAACACGTGGTTTCATTTCCGTCTCCCGTCTAGAGGCCAGCAATGAATCCTTTATTATTTAATTAAATGTTGGGGTCGCCTATCCCTTTCAGGAAACTGGTTTAGGTTAGTAGTGTCTTGGGATATGAGGACTGGTGTATCCACCCAAATATTTTCTATCTGAAATTCAAGGGGGGGGAGGGGGGGGGGGGGGTAGACCCATTATATGCCTCCATATGCATGTAAAATTAAACTTTCCTGACTGAAAACGTATCAGCCTTCCCCGCCTTTGTGTTGCAGTATCCTTCTGGAGTTTTGTGCTGAATTACTGGTGCTCCCATGATCTTTTCTCATTGACTTCCCATTCTCAGTAAGGAGTGCTCTCACGACAAGGTTGTCACCTTAGTTCTTTCTCTTTCAGACGGGTAGAATGTATGGGCAGTCATTTTGTTTTATGTGCATATGGAGGCATATGGAGGGATAAAAATTTAAAATGACCTGGGGAAATAATACACTTTGGCACGTGGCAAACATTGGTCTGCGTAAGTCGCACTCGACACTTAGCAATCATGCTAAAATGGCCGACAAGGTAGATCATCACCAGCTCGCGTTGCGTGGCATTGTCTGGACAGCAATGAGTCGGCGTAGATTTCCAACTGTACTGTATATAAATGCATGTTCACTGACTGTGCCAACATCATGAACAACTCCGGTGTTCTGGCCTTTGAGCATGCTAGCAATCGGCACCAGCAACGCAAAAGGTCACAACTGTTGGCTTCATTTTACGCAAAAGGACTTGGAACGAGCTAGGTGGAGTGTTGAGCTCAGCTGAAGCTTCTGGCCAGCAGCCAGGTTTCCGTGTGTCGCACTGAAAGAAAGGCATGATTGGGACTAGTCAAATCTGCTCTGCACTTCTTCACTTCTGCACTTCATCATTCCTGCACTTCATCACTCCTGCACTTCATCACTCCTGCACTTCATCACTCCTGCACTTCATCACTCCTGCACTTCTGCATGCTGCACTTCTAAACTTGTGCATGCTGCATGCTGCATGCTGCATGCTGTTGTATCGATTTCCACAACTTGGACCCAGCACAGCTGCAGTACCACTGGTCTCAATGACCAGAATGGTGACATCACGCTAATGGTGAACCGGAGAGCGGTTGTGCGGCGGAGATTGCCGTGGTCTCGGACAGGGTGTGGAATGGTGTCCAACCTTGTGGTTCGGTTTTGCGTGTTGGTTGTGTTTTAGGAGGCTGCCTACCTAGAGTTCTTGCAGCAGCAATGAAAGCCTCCAGAGCAGGGTTTGCCAAGTTGATGCTCCAAGACTCGCCTCATTTGTTTTCGATGGTGGTCCTCCTAAGCAGGCTCGGCGTTAGTCTCTTCTCATGGATATAGTTATTGTGTCATTGGATTTATCCCCGTCCTAAACTCCGGTTTGTAAGTAGATTTTTTACTCTCTTATTGGCACTGCAGTTCTCGAGTAGCTTACATCTGCTTGCTTCTAGCTCTGGGCTGGACCCATTCTATAATCACTTGACAACAGTTTACAGTCTTCAATTACTTTACTTTATCTCCAGTCTATTTAACTTGTCATCTTCTATTTATCTCTCACGTTTTTGATCATTCATCGACGGTGACAGCTGCTCGACTGCCATAAGCTGTAATAGTAGCGCTTAATTAAAGGCATGGTGTTTATCTTGTTGTGCACCGCGTACGCACTGGCATGCTCTATTGCTGGACATGTTGCTGCAGTGCCTCTATGCGGTCCTCATATTTTATTCTGCTGTTTGACTTATTTTCCAAACGGACATGTTGCGATGAGAGATAGGAGTTTTACTGGGCCTGTGAAGTTCACAGGTCATAACTGATTTGAATCTACATTTCATCTGCTGATCGTAATACACTGGTTTTCTTCATTGCTGTGTATGTTTTGAGAATGGAAAGAGTTTTTGTTTTACCTGTTTTGGTCTCTGGCAGTGCCCAGTTACCGATTGGGACGATTTTGGCGAGGTTCCATCTCGAAGTCCATGCATGTACACCAACACGAAAATAACCTAAGTTTGCCATGTGCCATGTGGAGTTGTGCTCGATGAAGTTGGATCAGTTGAAAATCAGCTACGTGTGCGCTGCACAAACGCTGATGAGTGCAGTGCCTTTCACTGGCGTATTCGTCAAGTCCGGTGTCATCGAGCACGACTGTAGTACTGGGACAGTCCCAAACAGTCCCTTGGGAAACCTGGGACAAGAATTCTAAATTCCGTGGGGGGGGGGGGGGGAAAGGGGGCTATTTTGTGATGTATTCTGCAGGAAAATAGACAATCTCAATATCTGCGGCACTTTTTGCAAGCTTTTTACTCTCTTTTATTTGACAACCTAGTTCCATCAAGAGTATGTAACCTCCAAGAGAGTGCAACTCCAGGGATAGGGTCTGCGAGAGCAGAACCTCATAACACGTGACGAACCCGTACACATTATTTGCACTCTGTGCATGATACTGTCCCTCCAGAAACTTGCGGAGACATTTCGGAAATATCGCGGAAAAAGTTGCGAGGTAAAATGCCACAAATTGCGGGGAATATTGCGGATTTTGTCAAATATTGCGGGATTATTGTGGTAAAAATGCGGAAATTGCGGCCGATTTTGGTACTTGTACTGTAGTGCTAGCTGTACGATGTACGGGTCGTACAGCATAAATCATGCATGACAAAACAGAACGTGTGCTGCGCTGACTGTGTTCAACTGCAAGACAGCTTTCCTCCATCCTCGGACAACACTCGACGCGAGCCTTATTTTGTGACTTGTCAGCCGCTGATTTGCCCAGAAACTTCGACATTCTGGTGTCGATCTCACAAGTAAACTACTGATGAGCTTGAAGAACTAAACAACATCGAAGAAAGACCCAAATATCGCGGTTGCTTTTCGAAATATCGCGGTGCTTTTCAAGTATCAAGGACAGTTTTCTACAATAACGCGGATGATTTTTCAAATATCGCGGATATCACGGACTTTTGTTCAAATCGCGGAAAACAACGCGGCCGCGGAATCGCAAGTTCCTGGAGGGACAGATGATAGCAAGAGTATAATAGCCCCCCAAGAGTGTGTAGCTCCTGATACCAAGCGTACACGACCCCCCAGAGTGTGCAACGCCTTATCCAGTTCTGCACAGGGTCTTGGTCGAGCGTAATCGGACCTTTGCATCATAATACCGTACACATCCGAGGGGAACCCGGGTAGTCGCGGGTACTCTTGGATCAAAAACAACGGTGCCCTGCCTCGAGACCGGCCTTGCGCTGGTGTGGAGTGTACGCATGACATAAGAAGATCCGATTACGCTTGACCAAGACCCTATGCAGAGCTGGATCAGGAGTTGCACACTCTGGGGGGGGGGGGGGGGGGGGGAACTCACATCACGTGGTGCCGTGTCTTAGTTGTAAGTTTCCAGCCCGGTTCTAGCGAACAGTGGGGTAATAATAAAAGCACTCCCTGGCAGAAATTCACAGCGCGGATGCAACCCGTCTGCATAATCATGGCAGATTTTCGGATTGCGCGCGTTATCCTTAGTTGTACGTAGTACAAACGTACCGGAGACACGTGATGTGAGCTTTCGCGGGACCCCATATGCAAAGTTGCACACTCTTGGGGAGTTGTATACTCTTGCTGATAGATACAGGCAAGAGCACATAACCCCCGAGAGTGTGCAACGCCTGATCCAGCTCTGCATAGGGTCTTCGTAGAGGATAGTCGGATCTTCTGATGTCATGTGTACACTCCACACCAGCGCAGGGCAGGGCCAGTCTCGAGGCAGGGCACCGTTATTTTTGATCCGACAATCCCGGCGACTCCCCGGGGTCCCCTCAGGTGTGTACGGTATTATGACGCAAAGGTCCGATTACGCTCGACCAAGACCCTATGCAGAGCTGGATTAGGCGTTGCACACTCTGGGGAGTTGTGTACTCTTGATCCAGGGTTGTATCAAGAGTACACAACCCGCTCAGAGTGTGCAACACCTGATCCATTTCTGTATAGGGTCTTGGCCGAGGGTAATGGGATCTTCTGATGCCATGCGTACACTCCACACCAGTGCAAGGCCGATCTCGAGGCAGGGTACCGTTATTTTTGATCCGAAAGTCCCGGCGACTCCCCGGGGTCCCCTCAGGTGTGTACGGTATTATGACGCAAAGGTCCGATTACGCTCGACCAAGACCCTATGCAGAGCTGGATTAGGCATTGCACACTCTGTGGGGTTGTGTACCCTTGCCACAGGGTTGTACGCAACCCAGCTTTAGGTTCAACTCTCTTATGGTCACTTTGCACTGTTTGCGAGAGTAACCTGTTAAACCATGTCACGTCATATGAAGTTCTGCCATCGCAGCACTGTACAGAGGTTGTGCAGGCAGTTGCACACTCTCGAGGGTTATGTACTCTTGGTTACATGTTGGAGTACTTTCCACGGCATCCTTTCTGCAAGGCTATTCACTAGGGCTGAAACGATTATATCGGCTATCCGATCATTACAACGAAGCGATTTCGATTATGCTGTCTGTTTCGATTACGCGATTTCTAAAAAATAAAAACGTGTACAAGATGTCATGTACATGACTGACTGTATGTAGTAGGATACGATAATGTTACGTACATTGTAGATCGACAGTGCATGTACACATGCGCAATATACTTCGTCGTTTTCCTCGCTTCATTTTGTTATCCACACGTTTTCCGGTCTAGTACAGTACGAGCGTAGTGGGGCTGTGTAATAGTAAAAATATATAAATAAATAAACGGACTGTCTGCACCCGCACATTTCTAGGACGCAGTAATCGATATCATAATCGATAATCGGATCGATACAAGGGTAGGTTAACCGATAGTTGAAAAGTGTAATCGTTTCACCC